CAGGATGCCTGGTGTTTCCTGCTGAGAATCTGGGTGGGGGTTCCAGGTTCCCCGAGGCATGGAGCCCCTGCTGGCTGGTTCAGGAAGGGGCTACTCTTCTTCCCAACAGGAAAGGCAGTGGGTGGTGAGAAGACCATGGAATATACAGCCCTGAGTGTGTGTCCCAGCTCTACTTCTCTTGGCCAAGCAGCACTCTCCAAGTCACTGCGCCCATCTTAGCCATCTTTAGGGGGAGGGTGTGATGATGGTAAGAATAGAATGATACCACCTGGTTCACAAAGTTTATATGAGGATGAAATGAGCTATTACACATTCATCCAAAAAACGTTTATGAGACACTTTCTGTGTTCTAGGGCGGGCTCTCGGCTCTGGGGCCGCCCAGAATAGGTGGAATGGACTGGAATCGGTGGAATAAGGGGGCAGAGTTCCCGTGCTCGTGGAGCTTCTGTGCTGGTTGAGGGGAGACAGACAGTATAAAAACTGAGAAACATTGCAGCGGGTGGGTCGTAGGCGCTGTGATGAGGAAGAAAGCGGGAGAGCGGGGTGGTTTGAAAGTACCTGGTAGGCTCCAAAGGACCACTCGGGCATTACTGCTGTTTTGTTGCTAGAACCAGGAACTTGAGATCCTGAGCCAAGGATGTGAGCAAGTGCATTTGGGAGCGCCGGGGAATCCCGGCGGGAACCGGCAGAGGTTGCCCCACACGCGCCGCACCCTTTTCAGCTCTTCTTACGAATTTTCACAGGGGAGCCTCTCAAGAACCCCGTGAGGTGGCACCATGTTACAGATGAGGAAACTGAGACCCAGAGAGGTTGAGTGTCTTGCCCAAGATCACACAGCTATCTCCCGTGTTCCATAGCTCCCCTTCCCAGTCCCACCAGACTGGGCCATTGGCCACTCCTGGCTTCTGCTTGCCCTCTTGTAGCCTCTGTCAAAACAGCCTGCCTCTGGTCCCTGGCATCTGAATCAGGCGTTGCGAACTCACTGGCCTCACCCAGCCCAAAGACAAGTTACGTTTGTCCTATCCAGCTTTCAAACATGTCAGAGCCAATATCTAAAGATTGGGAATCCAGATTTCTGGCTTTTCAAAGTCAGAGGTTCTAGCCACCCTGGGCCCACATCCCATTGGCAACTGCCATCTGGATCCAAGGGTCTGCCTGTTTAGACAGGGCATGTGCCCTCCTTCCCACAGTTCCTGCTGGGTGGCTGCAAGGTGTGACACTGGTGTGACTGGACCTGTCTCTCCCCATTGTAGTCTTAGAGCCTCTCCTCTTCACATGGCCACCGTGTGTGTTCTTTCTGGCAGAGTGGCCTTCTTCCATGAGAGCTCAGGGCTCCCTGAAGTGTGAAAGTAGAGAATGTTCCTTGTGCCACATTTTTGGGGTTAAACTAAGTCACAGGGTCAGTGCTGTGCTCCATGATTCAGGTTTTATGGTGGTGATGGGAAACCAGGTGAGAGTTGTAAGCGGGGAAGCAATGCAATCAGATTTATGGTTTAGAACTATACTATCCAATATGGTAGCCATTAGCAGTGTGGGCTATTTAAATTTAAATTCCTTAAAATTAAGTAAAATGAAAAATTCAGGCTTTCAGTCTCACTAGTCACATTTCAAGGACTTTATTAATAGTGGCTACCATATTAGTGCTCTATACCATTTGTATCATCAGAGAAAGCTCTGTTGGACAGCAAAACTTCAGAAAGCTCACCGTGACAGCTGTGGGGGGAGCACAGTGGAGGGGGCCAAGAGCAGAGGTCATGGTCCATGGTTGTGCAGCGGAGTTGGATAGAAGTGGTACGATTAGGGATGTGGAGTCAACAAGACTTACTGATCAGTTGGATGCGGGTGGTGAGGGCAAGAGTGGAATCAAAGCAACCTCTTAGTTTTTGTCTGAACAACCAGGGGGTCCCATTTTCTAGATAGAGAGGCTTGGGTAAGCATGGATTCTATGGGCGATGGGGCTGGGAAGCAGTCCTTCAATTCTGGCTGTGTTTCATTTGGGATTGGACGTGTGTTTCTGGGGTTCAGGAGAGTGTTCTGAGCTGGAATGTGAATGCGGGAGTCCTCAGTGAATAGATGATGTTGGCAAAGGGTCCATGGCACCAAAATGTAAGAACCCAAGGTCTTTTTTTTTTTTCCTTTAAGATTTTATTTATTTATTTTGAGAGAGAGAGGCAGAGCAAGAGAGCACGAGCAGGGGGAGCTGCAGAGGGAGAGGGAGCTGAGCAGAGAGCAGAGAGGGTCCCAGGACGCTGAGATCATGCATAACCTGAGGTGAAGGCAGACACTTAATGACCGAGCCACCCAGGTATCCCAGAAACCCAGCGTCTTGATGCGAATGTGGTTTGAGGACTGATTTCTGGTACACTCCAGCTTTGAGGAGTAGGGAGATGAGGGGGTGATGAAAGGTGGGAGAAGGGGCAGCCAGGCAGGTAGGAGGGAACCCGGCCTAGGCGGGCCCTACAGTCTAGAAGAGAATATCAATCAAGGAGGAAGGCTGGTGCTGCATGGGCGGGGTGGACTGCTGACCCGGGAGCTGCAGGGAAAGCAAATGACTTTCGCTGTGCAGGGCTGCCGCACAAGCAGGGCCTTGGGAAGCACAGAGGGCCTGGGGTCCGGGCTGCCGTGGAGGGGGGGCCTTGGAGAGGAGAGGGTGGGGTCTGGGCTTGCAGGGAGCTGGGTGAATTGGCGGTGGGCCCAGGCTCTTGCTCTGCCCGCACCTATGCCCCTGGAGAACTGCTGCTCGTCCACAGACCTCCTTGACGTGGGTCCCTCCGGAGTCCCTCCTTCCCCTTCCTCTGACTGCCTCCTCCGTTATGCCCCGTGTGCTACCGTCCACTTCACTGCTTGACTTCTTTTGACCATTGTCCCCCGCCCCTTGCTGATGAATTCACGCATCTTGCTATTGAGTGTCGCTGTGTGCAGGGCTCCACACTTGGCACGGGGACGCAGTGCTGAAAGAAACAGCTATGGTCCCTGACCTTGGCAGCACTGTGGTCGACTGTGGGGTGATAGCCAACCCACAGCTAAACACTCAAGCAAATGTGTAATCTCGATGAAGCAGCCGTGAAGAGAATGAAGAGGATGTTATGGTGGGGAATAAGGGAGGAACCCCACTGAGATAGGGGCATAAGGGAAGGCCTGTCTGAGGGGTGACGGTTGAAGATGAGGAGACACACACAGCTCCCAATTGTGGGGACCTCCCCTCGGGGGTATGATCAGCCGGCTTAAACAAATATTTATGCCCCAGACAATGAGCAAAGAAGGGCCCCTGTTGGCTCCCAGCGTGGGGTGGACACAAGAGAAGCAGGACCACCACCCAGGAGATAGCCCAGCACCACACCCTCCTCCCCTTGGCCAACAAGCCCAAGGTGGCAGTCAGCTCCCCTCAGATAGGCTGTGGTCGAGAACCCTGGCTACAGTGCTCACTGAGCGAAAGACTCTGGGCATTTGAGCCTCTCTGAGCCACAGTGTCCTCATCTGTAAAATGGGGATATTAGTACTGCCCTCTCAGGTTGTAAGACATGAGCAAATTAAAATACAAAGCACTTAACGCCGTGGGAACGGGGACACGCGTCGGTGCCCCTTCCCTGGCCTGCCTTATCTCCCATCAGTGGGAGCATCCATGATTTCACCAGCTGGCACCCACTGTCACCTGGGTACAAGTGTACTCATAAAATGTGCATGGATGTTGTTCAAGAGACGGGTCTTCTCTGGTCGGGGAGGGCCGGGGATTCTAGGAGAGTGTCACGCCAGCCACCTATTGGGTTCCTCCTGGCCCTCTCCCAGATTAACCTATTTAGTCCTCGTAACAGCTCTGAGGAGAAGGAGGCATAAGAAATGAAGTAGGATTTGAACCCAGGCAGCCTGGCAGCAGGCCCTTGTACCGCCCCTCCCCATCCCCTGTCCCCTTGTTCCTTCTCCTTGCCAGCATCTCAATCACGTGAGCTAATACCACTTGTGTCCGTTCACTCCAGGTCACAGCTCAGGCCACCCTCCACCCTTGTCCCCTTGCAGGGAGTGGAGACCCCCACTCTCCCTTGTTCCGGGTGCATGCCTCCTAGGAGGTCTCAGACAGAGGGTGCTCGCTCGACAAGAAAGCCAGCAGCCACAGTGTGCCCTGATGATGGGCGAGGTTAGCCCCTGGCCCCCACCCCCTTCTGTCCCAGCATCAGGCTTACACTTGCCCCATGGCCTCCTTATCTGTCCATCAGGAAGTCAGCCAGCAGTCAGACGTCCAAGGTCGCATGTTCCAAGCTGCACTGGCAGCCCCGAGCAGCCCAGACTGCTCGCTGAATCACCCAGCCCCCAGGAGGAGGGCAGGATGGGCCCAGGTTTGGGGCCTGGCTCCATCTATATGTTTCTAAAATCTATCAGAGACACTGACGTAGGTGCCTAAGTCACAGGCTCTAAAAGCGTCATCTTTTCTTTCTGCAGCCCAGCATGTGCTGGTATGAGTCAGCCACCTGTGATGGATTCCTTGTGTCGGGGTGGGGGGTCACTGAGTCACAGCCTCGCGGGGAGACAGCGGGTGGCAGATGCGCGGGAGCCAGCCTCCTTGACTCACTTAACTCTGGGAGCGTGAGGCCCAGGCTCCAAACCCTATCCTGAACTCTGCCCACCGGCGGCCCCATGTCACTGCATGGAAAAACTCCAAAGCACCCATGCCTGACGCTATTGGTTTCTTACCTCTGGAGGTGATAGACACGGGGCCTGTAGTCCTCACTTTATTGTGTGAATTTTTTTTTTTTAAGATTTTATTTGTCAGAGAGAGAGAGAGAGAACTCACAAGCAGGGGGAGTGGGAGAGGGAGAAGCAGGCTTCCCGCTGAGCAAGGAGCCCGATGTGGGACTCAATCCCAGGACCTTGGGATCGTGACCTGAGCTGAAGGCAGATGCTTAACTGGCTCCACCCTCATGATGGAGGAGTCCCTGTGAATTCCCGGCGTCCCTGTGAATTTTTTATAATACAAGTGTGTATAGTTAATTATTTATATAAGTAAAAATGAAGTTAAGAAATCGTTTTGAGATACAGTGGGCTTTTCCCCATGCCCTGCCTGTGTACATGCTGTTCTGAATTCTGGGAGAGTCCTTCTGTTCTTGGGTCCTTGTTCTGATGATGAACACGTTCATCCTAGGAACCCAACCCAATAACAGCTACCATCGGCTTTGCCCTCCTCACCTCCTTTAATCCTCCTAATAACCCTTTGTGGTTATCATCTCCATTTTGCCGGTGGGGAAATTGAGGCACAGAGAGGTTACTGACCTTGCCCAAGGCACCCCACCTGGAGGGCGGGGCCCGACTGGAGTGTAGAACTCAGCTGCTCCTCTACCATGTGGCTTCTGAAGCCCACATCCCAGACTCCATTCTAGCCTGACCTGTGAGCTGAGGCCGGGCCATGCCTGTCAGCCTGGTACCTTACACATCAGTCCGCAAAGCTCAGGCCCTCGTGAAGACGGGAAGATTCCTAGAAGCCCACAACTTTGTGTTTGAAATAGGCATGCTTACAAAATAAGCAGACTTTGATGAACTGCTGCTAAGCCAGAAGCTATAAGCCATATTCCTTCCTTTGATGTAGCTTACCAAACCTTCGTTGAACTGGAATAAAATAAACTCTGTTTTTCACCATGGCATGTGGGGCCTTTATGAACAGCCCCATCTCTCTCAAATGCCTCTTTGTTTCCGGATGCTACCACCCCCTGCAGGCCGTTCTTTTATTCTGGGTTCAGTAGTACCAAATTCTTCTAATTCCTTACACATGCCCACCAACTGGACTGGGCAGTTTCTGACCTCCATACTTGTTCATGCTGTTCCATCTGCCTACATGCCTTTCCCCCCTGTTCCCTAGTAATGCAGACTCATTAGCACAAGAGGGTCCTTTCTGCTGAGAAGCCCCCTCTGAACACTCCCAACTGAATTGGGGGCTCTCCCCATGGCCCCCACAGTCTATATATCCCTCTCGTCCAGTGTGGGTCATGCAGTCTCATTTTCTGTTCCAGGCTCTTGTCTGGGCCATCTTCCCAAACCCAGCACGTCCCAAGGGATGGCTGCATGTGGCCATCAATCCAGGGCTGCTGAGGTACATGGTGAGAGGGAGGATCATGTCCCGCTTCAGTGTGCCGAGTCTAGAGTCCCAGCAGCCATGAGTTCAAGTCACAGCTCTTGACATGTTCCTTAAGCAAATGTCTTCACTACTCTGAGCCTCAGTTTTCTTTTCTGTAAAATGGGAATTACCAGATGTCAAAGTCAAAATCGTTATTTTAAGAATTAGTGCCATTCATCCTTTGTTCATTCATCCAGTACCTATTTTGTGGGCATCTGCCAGGGTCTGGGGAGTGCAGATCAAATCGGACACAACTCCCCACCAGCGTGGAGCCAACGTTCTCCGGTGAGGAAGCAGAATAGAAAAAGATAAAGATCAGGTGGCCCGTGCTGGTTTGGGGAAGGGGGGTTGGGAGGCTCCCTGAGCAGAGGCCTGAGGGAGACCAGGGAGAGCCACGTCAAAGAGGGTTCCAGGAAGGGGTCGCAGGCACACAGGACCACACTGACACCGTTCCCGGTGTCACAGGGAGGCTGGCATGGCCAGGGGGAGTACACAGAGGAGGATGTGAGCAGAGGAATGACACAATCAGATTTAGGTTCTAAAGGACCTCCCTGGCTGCTGTTGGGGAAAGGCCTGGGGGTGCCAAGGCAGAAGCTGGGAGCCCAGTGGGGAGGCTGCCCCCACTGTCCAGTCCAGGGGAGCAGTGGGGGCTTGAGAAGGTCAGGTGCTAGGCATCATGAGGGTGGAGCGGAAGGCCTTTCCTGGTGGGCAGGAGGTCAGGTGTGAGGGAAAGACGGGGCCAAGATGATACCAAGGGTTTGGCCTGAGTAGCTTGGTAGAGGAGGGGCCTTTTGTTGCCACAGAGATGCCCCAGCAGAATCCAGGGAGACCCAGGGAGGAAAGGAGGCCACCATAGCCCTGCCTTCAAGGATCCCCTAGTCTGGGGTGGTGGGGCAAATGTGGGTGAGTAGTAGTGTTGATTTGGATTTTGAGGAGGTTCAGTTGGTCTGTGGGCCTAAAGGTTCAACCCACCATGGGGCCAACAGCCGGGAAGTAGCTGGTGGGCGGCTGCCATTTCGAGCCCTGGCCTGGGCCAGGTGCCCAGCTGTGTTCTCTCACCCCATAATCCCGGCAGCCCCCTCGGGTAGCTTCTGTTCCTGCCCCCGTTCTACAGACAAGCGGCCTGAGGCTCAGAGAAGGGCAGTAGCTCCTCCAAAGTCCCATGGCTCGGACCACGCTGGGATCCCGATCCAGATCTGTCTGACTCCAGGGTGAAGACCTGCCCCCCACCTCTGGGGAAACCAGCTAGACTCCTGAAACTCGCATCTCTCCCCCAGGTCCCTGGCAACTTCCACGTGTCTACACACAGTGCCACGGCCCAGCCACAGAACCCGGACATGACCCATGTCATCCACAAGCTCTCCTTTGGGGACACACTACAGGTGAGCAGGGTACACACAGGTCGCGTGGCTGGGGGTGGGTGCACCAGGACTGTGTCACCTGGAGCCTTCTGTCCTCTCTGGGCACAAAGATAACATCTAGAGGGCTCACCCCCTCTGAGTCTCTGTCCAACAGCGCCTCTGTATTATTCCTTCGGAGCATGGGCCTGCAGTTTTGATAGTACCATGCCCTTGGACCCTTGGGTTGAGACCTGGAGGCTGGGGAAAGGGACGCTCTTTTCATGAGCCAGTACTAAGTGCTAGCACTTTCTCCATGCCAGTGAGGCCTTATGACGTATGAGGGGGCACCACGCCTTAGAGCTGTGGAGCTGGGCCCAGAGAAGCCACTTGTCTGGGGGTCCCCCGGCAGATCTGTCTGATGCCGGAGTCCAGCCTGGGTGCCTGTACAGCTCCTTCTGCCTTCCAGCCCAGTGCCCACGCCCACCAAGTAGGGATGCCATGGTGAAGGAAGCCTCCTGACAGTCCTCGGTGAGGATGGAGAGGGCCACCTCCAGCAGGCCCAGCCCAGCAGCTTCCTACCCATGGCAGCCATGTATGGGAACCCAACACAAACCACCTGCTCTCCACCAGCTGCAGGCAGGGGAGCTTGGATGTTCTCTTTTCTCCACTACTCCCCGTAGTCCGGAAGGTAGATTCTGGAACTGAGGCCCAGAGTAGGGAGGTAACTGGTCCTGCCACAGTGCTGGGATCAGAACCCTGGGTCCAGCCACCAAGCCTTGCTCGATGAGAATCCTGGTTCCTGCTTAAGGATATTGGAGGGTGGGGTCCCCCCAGGGATGGTGGTGTGCACCTGGGGCTCACACAGGCCCACAAGCACAGCACACACACCATTACGCCATTTATGTGCACAGCCATCTGCTCAGACTCACGCACACGCTCATGAGACACACGCTCAGACGTACACCCTGACACACGCGTGCTCGTACGTATACCGTAAGATCCATCCCTAAACACACACACCAAATGTACACACACCCAGACTCTTGCACAGACACGGCACGCACACACCACCCAGGGACGCGCACAGACTCACCGACGTTGAAACAGCTCACATACACACTCCTGCCCGCACTGCCCCACTCACATGGGCCTGCCAAGCACCATTCTTTATAAGCATGACCTTCTTTCACTCTCTTAGCAGCCCAAGAGGTGGGTACTTTATTGTCTCCATTTTACAGGTGAGGAAGTTGAGGCACGGGGAGGGTACAGTCCATTGCAGAGTCTGAGTTTGCATCAAGAGTCTGGCTTCGGGCCGCACCTCGGGCACCACCTCCCCCGTGAGCCCTCTGGAGGGCACACTGCGCCTCAGGCGCATGCACACTCTCACACCTCCTCTCTCCACTCCACATCGCCTCTGCTGCTCTCCCTGTGGGCACCTTGGGCCCAGCCTGAGGGGCCAGTCATCACCTGTCCAGTCCCTTGGGAGGCCACAGAGCTCTTCCTCTTGGAGACAGGGCTTGGGAACAGAGAAGGCCTGGCCACCCCGTGGGTGCCGTGAGCCAGACTCCCTGCCTACACACTCGGTGAAGCACAGCCTGCCCTGCGACTGTGGGCTCCCTTCACACAGGGTTCACCACCCACGGGGCCCCAGCTCTCCACTCGGGGTCGTTGTGTGTTGGCTCCCCAGCCTGCCTTTCCAGATCCAAGTCCTGGCTCCACCACGTACTAGTTGTGTGACCTTGAACAAATGATTTAGTCCTGCTGAGCCTCAGTTATTTAGTCTGTAAAATGGGGACAGTAAATAGTACCTGCCTCAGAGGCTTGTAGTGAAGATAAAATGAATTCCTGCACATAAAGCCCTTAGATCAGTGCCGGGCAGAGGGTAAGCAGTCAAGGAAATGAGCTCTTACCGCTGTTGTTGCTCTCTGTAACCTAACTCTGCACCAGGCCCTGCAAGACAAAGCAGCCATGCTCACGCAGCCATGGAGAAGACAGAATGTGGGGTGGTCCCCACCCCCAGTGGGACGGGAGCTGACAAATCACAGGCAGGTGGTGGGCGGCAGGCCCTCCGTTATACTAAGCGCTGGGCAGTGCCCGAGCTGCCTTTAGACCCACCAGCTCGGCAAATCCTCACTGCGGCCCTGGGAAAAAAGTCACTGTGAACTCCGGTGTGCCCAGGGGAAGACCGTCCAGGGTCACTCGGCTCTGCACAGCCAGAATTCAAACCCAGTCTTTGTACCAGGCCACACTCCTTCCACTTGGGAACTCTGGACGCCGGAAGCCTGCTCTTTCTTACCTAGAGAACAATGTTACAGGTGACCCCGTGTTTAATCCTTACAAAGACTCCCTTAAGGGTGCTGGATGGCATTTGTTGTTCCTGATGAGGAAACTGGGTCAGAGGGATTCAGTAACTTGCCCAAGGTCACACAGCTTATAAGAAACCAGGTATGTCTGGCCCCAGGTTTCCATTACTGTGCCTCATACAGTCATGGATTCATCAGACCTTGAAATTTCTGCTCTGTGCCAGGCCCTGGGGTTACATGATGGGTAAATGATACAGGACTCTTGCTGTCAGGAGAAGAGATCAAATAAATAAGCATGATCATATAGGACAAGGAGGGCTAAGGACAAGAGAGGCATGGGATTCTGGGCAGTGATATGGGAGCAGGGGCAGGGTTCCTCCTAGCCTGGGAAGTCAGGGAGGGCTTCCCAGAGGAGGGTGACCTCGCAGGTGACATGTAAGCCAGCCCCTGAAAGGTGAGAAGGATTTGGCCAACCTCACAGGGAAGTCTCATGGGCAAGGGGCATCTCACACATCTTCAACTCTATGATACATGCAGATGGTCATTTTCATATAAAAGGCCCTCAAGGGTCCTCTTAGAAAAAATGGGTCAGCAGATGTCCACATGACCAGAATGATGTTCTATAGCAAGGCCTGGGAAGTGAGTGCTCCTCAGAGTTGGAGAGGGTGCAGAAGAGTCCCTGAAGGGGAGCAGGGAGCTGAGTTTTACCGGGGGCGAGGGATTCAGGCAGGTGGGGCAGGTGGGGCTGACTGGGGCTGGTTGCTGTGTTGGAGCACCCACCTGCTGTGTGGAAGATGGGCCGTGAGGCCAGACCGGAGGTGAGGGAAGGGCTGCGGCCAGGGCCAGGGGAGATAGGGCAGCAGGGGGAAAGGAAGGGGACAGACAGGGGGAGGAGAGGGGACAGTCTTGTGTTGCTATGTGCCGCTGGCTGAACAAGACAGAAACAGCCTTCTGCCTGGTCATGATTATGGGCAAAATAGGATTTTCTTTAAATGAAAAAAAGAACTTAGCTGAGGTTCCATCTACCCATCCATTATCCATCATCCATGTACCAATATTTATTGAGCTCCTGCTATGAACATTATGTGCCTTGTGCACATTGCTGAGGACGAGCATGGTCCCTGCCCATGTGGAACGTACAATCTAGAGGGGAAAACAAAAGTTAATCACATGATCATACAAATGAATGTGAGATAAAACCATGACACATTGACTATGGGAGGGAACATTCTAGCTCTCCTCTCCATAACCACCATCCTCTTGGGTTCAGATTGTCCTTCCCTAAGGCAGCAGTGGACAAATTTCCCTTTTCTTTGGGCTTGTTAAGAGTGTGCAGCTCTGTTAAGTGCTCAATAAACATCAGCCACCTGAGACAGGGATCAAGGACCAGGTCACCCAGCTGCTTCCCACTGTTCCTGAAGTGGCCCTCTCTGCAGGAGCCTGTCCCCACCTACCTCACCCCCTCCCCCTGGGGACACACAGGCTTCTGTTTATTCCTTGGTCTCCGGGGTCATGCTTCACAAATGCTGCTTGCCTGATTAACTTTCCACTTTCCTATAGATCTTAGTGTGTCTCTTCTTCCAGGAAGCCCTCCAGGAAGCCCTCCAGGCAACTCCTGTTAACCATACCCATGGTGGCATGCCCCATGTACCAGGCATGCCTTGCCCTGCTTTAGATTTTCCTGTAGCTGACATGGTTTCCCCTCATCCTCAGAGAAGAGGGAGGATGTGGCCCTCGGCCCCACTCTACATCAGGCCCTTTCAGGGGCCAGTTGCCATGAGGAGAGGGCTCTTCACAGCTGCTGTATGTTCTCTGCAGCAGATACAGTAGGAGGCCAGCAGCCCTGGAGCCTCAGAAGGCTGTAGGGGATCTAAGGAGGCGTGTGCCGGAACCCAGATCCACCTCTACTTGTATTTCCAAAGTGGCTTAATGGAAAGAGCTCAGGCTTGAGGTCAGATACCTGAATTTGGAGCTTGGCTCAGCCATTCATCAGCTGTGTGACACTGGACAAGCTTCAGCACTTCTCCAAGCCTTGGTTTGCTCTTCTGTAAAATGGGCTCAACAGTACATCATTAGGGGCACTAAATGAGATGACTAGGAGTACGGCAGGATAGAGTGGTATATTACAGGGGCCCAAGATGGGAAGCAGGCTAGCGCCTACCACGTGCCAGGCCTGGGCTATATCGGTCTCTTGCTCCCTACAGCTTCTCTGTGGGATAGACCACGCTGGGTAAGGTCCCTACACCAGGTTGCACCTGGCCATCCCCTCACGCGGCCAGGCCCAGGCCCGGAGGAAGTGGCATCCTGGGGTCAGTCCCCTTGCTGTGCTTCTCCACAGGTCCAGAATGTCCACGGAGCTTTCAACGCTCTCGGGGGAGCAGACAGACTCACCTCCAACCGTATGTATCCCATATCTCAACTGGGAACAGGGAAAGGGGGAGAAGAAGGGAACGCGTATCAAGCACTCACTGTAAGCCCAGCTGTGAATGCTCCTTTCCCACGGCGGGCCTATGAGGAAGGTGGAATTAGCCCTATCTGACAGACAAGGGGAGGTAAGTGGCTTGTCCCCACCCTCCCCGGGGAAAGGATCTGACAGCCCCAGGCACATCATAAGAGCTCAGTGAGTACCAGCCATTATCATCATTATTGTTATCATTACTGCCGCCGAATTGTTCTTAGTTGAGATAATCACCTAAGATCCTGCAGGGAGCCATGGCGGAGCCCGAATTCGTCCTAGTTCCAGCGGCAGGCACCGTGAGAACAGGGCTGAGGGTGGCCCAGTCAGGTCTGACCACCTGGGGCGCCCACCCAACCCCACACTCTCCTCGGGCTGGAGCCCTTCCCACCCATGAATGCCCCCTCCCTGAGCCCTCCACCCGCTCAGCTCTCTGGCACCTCGGTCCCAACTAAGGAGGGCTCCGTGTCTTTACACACTGACACACCTATGCACGCCTGTCTGTGGCCTGATCTAAAGAATTTTTGCACACCTACACACGCACGTGTGCACACATACAGGGCCTTGGATGCATGCACAGAATGGGTTCAGGAGACTTGTCTGCTTAAATGGATCCACCCCCTGGATCTTGCGGCACAGGTGACCTTAACTTTCCTTATTTCCTCACCTGAGCTCACCTTTTTTATCCACAAGGGTTTTCTCACTGTTTCTTAAAATACATTCTGCTCTCGGGGCGCCTGGGTGGCTCAGTCGTTAAGCGTCTGCCTTCGGCTCAGGTCATGATCCCAGGGTCCTGGGATCAAGTCCCACATTGGGCCCTGCTCGGCGGGAAGCCTGCTTCTCCCTCTCCCACTCCCCCTGCTTGTGTTCCCTCTCTCACTGTCTCTCTCTATCAAATAAATAAAATCTTTAAAAAAAAAAAAATACATCCTGCTCTCTGATGGTCAGAAATTCAAGCAAAAGAAAACATCTCTCCATGAGCGATCCCCCACCCTCAACAAATCACACTTTTCATTTCTCCATGTCCCTGTGAACCCTCAGCCATCAGCAGAAGTCATCGTCTCAAAGCCAGTGGATGACACTTGACCTTCTGGTTTTTGTCCTTGGCATTTTTACGTGACCACAGTTTGTGGACAGTGTTTCCAGTGGTGACGGAGGCGTGCCTGCCCATCTCGCACTCTGACATGCTTTATTAAGGCCTTGTCGTCTCGTGGAAAATGTCTGTTCCTAGTCTTTTACCATCACGGCAACGCTTGCGATATTTATGGTATTTGCTTTCCCTTGTCCCGTTGCTTTCCCTTGGGTGCGGGCCCGTTCGCGCCACCTCCAGCAGCGTAGGAACACGCGGCGGGGCCTCCTTGTCTTCATGCGGATGTCTGATTCTGACAGAGGGAGATGATCCTTCCCATGTTGATGTTGGCGTCATTGTTGGTATAGTTCTGTGGAAGGGCCCACGTTGCCCCAAGGCGGTGGTCCACACCCGCTCGCGGTTGGCTCGGATACTGACACAGAACTGAGCTCGGAAGGACCCAGACGGTGTCAACCAGTAGAGCATCTGGGCAGAAAACCCTGCCTGCTCTAGGGCTCATGAGGAGAGCCATCTCAGGCTGGCTTCCGTGGAAAGAAAATGCATTAGATCAGACAACAAGCAGCCAAGGGTAGGGCTGGCTTTCATTCCCTCAGCCCTCCAGCTTGGCCTCTCTGCTGGGCCTTTTTGCCTTTGCTGCCCCTCTGCTCCCAGACCTTCCCAGTGAGGGCTGCTGCTTGTCATGTAGGTCTCAGCGCAAATGCCACCACCTCCAAGAGGCCCTCCCTGACCACCTTATCTAAAGGAACTCCCACTTCTAGTAACCGATTTTTCTTCCAGCACAGACCACTTTCTTTGCAGATACTGAGGAGTAACTGTGGATGTTTTAGCCGTGGTGATGATGACATTGTGGTTGTTGTGTTTTGATTTTTTTTAAGAGTCTTTATCTTTTATAGAGACATAACTAAAATATTTTTGGATGAATTGATGTGATGTCTGGGATTTGCTTCCAGATAAAACAGAGTAGGGTGAACGATGGGGTAGGGAGGAAGCAAAATCGACCGTGTGTTGTTAATTGCTGAAACTGGGGAATGGGAGACCGGCGTGGGGAGGGGGGTTCGTTATGGGAGTCCCCATTTTTTCATGTGTTTGAATTTTTCCATAACAAGATGTTAGGAGGGAGGGAGGCTGCGAGCATAAAGTGTATGTGGGCCTGCCTGGATCAGGTCGGAGCCAGCAGCCCCTAGGAGGGATCCACTGACAAGGAGTCCACGTGGGTGGAATTAGGCACGATGTCTCTAGTGGGCATTTGGCAAATTGTATCAAAGGCCTTAAAAATGGTCATTGCCTTTGAGTCATCGTTTCTACTCATAGAAGAGTAAGCTAAGGAAATAATTAAGAGAGTGTGCAAAGATTTAGGAAAATAATGTCCATTAGGTCATTGTTTATAACAGTGAGAATGAGGAACAGTGTCAGTGTCTAGCCACGGGGGGTGGGTTGAGTGCATTTATGTGGCTGCGCTGCGGGATACGTGCAGATGGGTCAGAACTTCGCTGGCATTCGGGCAGCAGACATCTACTGAGCACCTACTGTGTGCCAGGCACTGTGCTAGGGGATAGTGCAGCAAATAAAACGAACAGAGTGGAACTTACTACTTTCTGTGTCTTGGACCTAAAATGGTATCTGTGGTGTTTAGTTCTTAGAAAAGGGTACAGTATGATGCCTTTTTTTTTTTTTTAAAGATTTTATTTATTTATTTGAGAGAGAGAATGAGATAGAGAGAGCATGAGAGGGGGGAGGGTCAGAGGGAGAAGCAGACTC